ACTTTGGACATATTATCAGGAAGGACCAGTCGCTGGAGAAGGATATCATGTTTGGTAAGGTGGAGGGTCAGAGAAAAAGAGCAAGACCCCCAACGAGATGGATTGGCCAAGTGGCAGTAGTGAAGTTGGCCCAGGATCAGGCAGTGTTTTGTTCTGCTGTGCCGACTCGATGGCACCTAACAATAACAACAACAATTTGGAACTGAAGTCTTGGTGTGGTGCTGCAGGATAACGCACTGGACAGCAAGATGGGTTTGAACCACAAGGTCACCGGTTCAAACTCACCAGCCACTCCTTAGAAACCTTATTCAGGGTTGCTATGGGTTGGAATAAACTCAATGGCACTTAACCAATAATAACAATAACATGTTCAAACCCGTAGAATTTCACAATTCTCAGGAAAAGAGCCTTAAAGGCATGTGGTTTGCCCTTGCTTTTTCCAGCTCCTTACTGATATGGGTAAAGGGTCAAGGTAATCACAGGAGTTTCAAGCTAGAATGAGACAAAGAGCCAACTTTCCTTGTTAGTTTGCTAGCACTTTTATTATTATTATTATTATTATTAAAATGAAGGCAAGACGACTAAATCAAAAGAAGTTTCTCTAGTTAGATTTCAGTACCACTGGATCAGACAATAAGAGGTTTGCATCATTATCCAACTTCAACTTTGGCTTATTCAAATTTTTTAGCATCACCAACCCAAACGACCCAAACAGGGTCCAATCAAAACTCTGGGAAAACAAGTATATGTATACACTATGCCTTTATAAAAACAAAAGAAAACACGTGTACAGCCCACTGCACTGAAAATCACTATACCTTTGCCTTGTTTCCCTTATTTTTCTCCCAAGACCAGGCTAACAATGATTAATTACTTAAAGCAAATTTTAAGTAAAAGAACATTTACCTTTAATTTCTTATTTATCTTGCAACAATATCTGTAAACCATTGCCAAATTGAGTGGTCCAAAATCCGCGTAGAAGCTTTAAAAATGAAAAATAAAAGTACATATGTATACTCTAGATGCTCTAAATATAAATGCCTTTTGCGGGGGCGGGTAATATCAAATTAAGACAAGAAAAATACATACCAAATTGCTATCAGTCATAAAATTTAAAAGCATTGCCTTACTAATGGAAAGCCTATACTGGCAAGTAATGCATACAAAAATACAACAAGTTAAAAGTCCTACATCTAAATATAACTTTAAATAACACATAAAATGCCTTCTAAATAAAAATGTTTTTTAACATATTTCTCCACTGTAAAAAACAGATCTAACTTTAATACATTAATTTACATCTCATTTTTACAGTAAATGATTAGAACTTCAAATGTAAATGTTCAAATTTAGAGAGGTTCTTTCATTTCCTTTTCCCAACCCTAAGGATCTATTTTGGACTTCTGGTGTGGCGCTGTGGGTCAGCACTGGACTTCAAATAACAAGGTTGGCAATTTAAACCCACCAACTGCTCCTAGGAAACCCTATACAGGGTCACTATAAGTCAGAACCAACTGATGGCACTTAACAACAAGGATCTATTTGTTGTGTGTTTTTTTAAGCATCCTGCAATTTTCAATCAGCAGATTTGTAATTTTCTTCTAGAGTGAGCAACATAAAAGAGCACTTTACAATCTTTAGAAATGCAAATTAATACTTACTTCTCATATTCAAGTTCGTTATCTATGCAGAAATAATGTAGATTTGATGCACTCTTTGGTCTGTTGTAGAGAATGGCAAAACATAGGCGATCTGAAATGGAAAAATTGTAATGTTCCTTCCTTCATGTTATAAAACAGCATTTCATATATCACGATGCAACTCTTTTAAGATGAAATCACAATTTTATTTTCCGTGCATGTATCACAGATTAAGCAGGGGAAGGGGCAATAGGTAATTTCAAAATATTCTATTTTAATGGGTAATGGTATTTTAAAATGATAAAATAATAGGTAAAGTTATTTAAAGGAGCAATTGCTTTTAACCTTAAGTTTTAATATTAACTTTTCAAGTAACTACATGGGGTTTGATTTCTGGAGAAACCTCCCATTATAAAATTTTAGTTTCTCAGGACTAAAAAAATTTCAGCAAAATACAGCATGCATTTGATGGCTTGTCATCAAACCTTATACGTCTATGATTTTTGCTATGATAAAGTTATTTCTGTAATAACTTTATTTTTCTTAAATGAAAGAACAATGGCCTTCTTCAAATTGAAAATTGCTTCAAAATTAACATTTAAGAAATCAACAAAAACGATGCTTAAACTGTTGAGGCTCAGTATATTTTTGTGTGATTCATAATCATTATTTTTGTGCTTTTACAATTAGACAGCTTCAAGAATGTGAGGTTTCTGTGTCATGAGATAATGTGTTTATAAATGCAGTCTGGGACCCGAGGCTATTATAATTGTTAGGATGGTGATGGGTAGTAATGGTGAGAGGCTCCACCGGTCTTCCCCAAAAAGAGTTGCCAAAAATAAATAAATAAATAAACAAACCAACAAAAGTCTAAGCAAAACACCGTACAATTGTCAATAATAACACTAGTAGAGCTAGAATACTTCACGCTTGACTTTGCCTCAAAAATGTAAAATCAAGTACAGTAAATGTAAAATCATTTATACGTATGTCACTAGAGCAAGAATAAACAACATACGCCAACAGACATAATTTCTCTGCAAAGTAATTTAAAAACAAAATGTTGTCTGCCGCTCAAGTCACCCGGTATTTATTTCCCTGTACTTCACTAAAATTTCTGCAACCACAAACATTCAAACGGATGACGGTGCTTATTTCTTTGCAATCACAGATGGCCCTTGATCCGGAGTAGTGACTGAGACGGTTTGCTCAACGTTCCTACCAGTGAGTGGGTGCAAGTACACAGGTGTCACAAGCACACATAGGGCCTGGAGATCCGGAGTCCCAGGAGGCCACCCACGCCCATGAGACCTTGTCAGCCCAGCCACGATGTTGAAAGCACCTCCGGCTTCCCGGTGTCCGAAGCCCTTTAACCAGGGTTTACCTGGGGGTCGCCAGGGATCGGGAAGCCACGCGCGCTCACGTACTCACCTTTGATCACTTCCACTACCAGACGAGTCCCCGAGCCCTCCCGGCTCATGACTCCAAAGCATCTGGAAGGCGGAGGCGAGGGGAAGGACCCGGGGTCAAAAGCTGCCAGGAGAGGAGGGGCTGCGGCCACACCCCCGAAAGTTTAAAAGGCACAAAGTTTAAAGGTCTGTGCCCAGCACAGGGCGACACCCCTCAGGCTCCACTCTGGCCACACACTATATGCCAGCCAGGCAGCCGAGGAACCACAAATCGGGCTAGCCAACCCCGGAAGTTCAAAACTTCTCAAGACAGTTCCAAAAGGGGCGGCATGGGTGCGAAAGATGGAAAAACCCCTAAATTCTCGAGTTTTTTGCCTACGGGTTAGGGACGCAGGGCTAGTGTCACTTCAACGCCAAGATTCTGAACTCAAAGTCGGAACGCAGCCAATGCGTCCGAGTGGTAGACAGGGGCCTTTTAGAATAATGTTTCTCGGAAAACTCTCAGTGATGAAAACAACTTCTCAGAAGAGAAGGGCAGACGCAGAATCCCGCGGTGGTTTAGACCTTAGACCCGGGAGAGCTGGGTCCCGGGTGCGGGGGGGGGGGGCCGGCCGGGGCCAGGGACTGGACCTCTCCCTCAGCCGCCCTCGCTGCCACCAGGGGACGCTGCAGCCGCGGCTTCCGCATGATGAGTCCCATCACGGCGGGATGCGGCTCCTCCAGCAGCCACGATCTGTGCGAGACCAGGGCGCAGCCTCACGCGCGGACCCGCAAGGCCTCATGGGCCCGTGGAGCACGCGCGTGCCGTCGGACAACCAGGCGACCAGCGCTTGCGCGCCGCGGTCCCATCTTCACGCGAGGCGGTGGCGGCTGCCTAGCCCTCAGACCTGCTGCTCTATCCACAGAACTTGGCCTAGGGAGGAATTGCCCTCGGGTGAAGACCGGTTCTGTGTTGACGACGGTGCTAGACAAGCTGGCGTCTATTCTTTAAAATTATTCGAGTCTTAAAGGCAATCCTAAAACTGTGATCAGTTTTAAAGGTTTGAGATTTCTCCTTATAGAAGTAATTTTTTAAACTCTGACACATTAAGTACCGTTTAAAACAGCTTTATAATCTACAGTGAAAAATATTCAAGAGACAGTATGATCTTAATTTTGTTAGATACAATGTGGTGCTGGGATTGTGGCTAATTTTCATTCCCTTCTATATTTTTTCAGGTTTTCTAGGGGAAAGAACTACTTTAAATATATATGAAAACATTTCAACAACTCTTTCTGCAAAAACAGAGGATGGAAATACAGTAACAACTGTTTCCCAATTATACTTTATTTATAATCTCAAAACACAAAAATTGTCCGGTGTATTCCGACTCATCGATCCTGCAGTAGGACAGAGCAGAACTCCCCATAGTGTTTCCCAGGCTGTGAATCCTTATGGAAGGTGGCTGCGGCATCTTTCTCCCAGAGAGCGAGCAGTGAGCTCAAACCGCCAACCTCTAGTCACACTTCTTTACAATAGTAACTTTTCCGTAAATTTTTAACAAGAAGCACTTTCCTAGGAGAAATTATCTGTAACATATGTTGTTGTTGTGAAATGCCATCAACTCAATTCCAATTCATAGCTACCCTGTATAGAATTTCCGAGGATCGGTTTGTCAGTTTAACCCTGCAGTTCAAACTGACCTTGTGGCCCAGTACTTAATGTACAGCACCACGTCAGAAAAATTTAAATTTAAAAACAATAAAATTTCATTTCACATTGCCACATTAAAATTTTTTTTAAATACTGAAATAGATTATTTTAAGGTTTTGAGGGAATTGTTCATTTTATACAAAGTCATAAGTTGAAAAACTAATCTCCAACTTTATATGGAAAGGAAAGGGAACTCCAAAATTGAAATAAGAACAAAAAGTAGGAGCCCTCATATTTCTTGATCTCAGAACTTACTATATAACGTCATTCAAAACAGTTCGGTACTGGTAGAAATAGAGACACACAGACCAATGGAACATAAAATGACAAGAGGCCTTCAGGCTGACAATCTGGCACGATGTTATGCACATACCATTTGACCCGGCCAATCCCCCTGAGAGAAATAATGGCACTAAAGTTGTGCAGTTTAATTTAATACAGTCTGCAGTAAAAATAAATGGAAAATACAATTGTCATCAGTAGATTAATAATTATATAATTAGCAATAGGATAAGCACTGGATTGTGAGCCACTAGGTTGGCAGTTCAAACTCAACCAGCTGCTTCTCAGAAACCCTATTCAGGGTTGTTATAAGTACTTAACAACAAACAAAAATAATGTTAATTGAAAAAATACTGTTAACTGGAGTCCTGATGTAGTGATGTAGAAGAAGCACTGGACCACAAGGTTGGCTTGAACGACAGGTCAGCAGTTCAAACTCACCAGCCACTCCTCATAAACCCTATACAGGGTTGCTATGAATCAGAACTGACTCAACAGTACTAAACAACAATATACTATTAATTATACAGTAATTGAATGAAATCTTTCTATTGGAGTACAGAGACACATTTGGTGTAAAACACTACTTGTATAATTGTTGTTAAGTGCCGTGGAGTCAGTTCTAACCCAAAGCAACCCTGTGTAGGGTTTTCAAGGAGCGGCTGGTGAATTTGACCCACCTACCTTGTGGCTACACTGCCATACCAGCACTCCATTTGCACAATAGATAAATGTAAAAAGATAAAACTAAATCACATGTCTACAGGTAAATATAGAATCCTGGTATGCACGGTAGCATGAGCCCTGGACTGCTAGTTCAAACCCACCTGTCACTCCTCAGAAACCCTACACAGGCTCTCCATGGGTCAGAAGCTACTCCACAGCACTTAACAACAAACAGGTAAATATATATGGATGAAAATAAACAGAAAAGCAACTAGAAAAATACTCCCGCCAAACTGTTAACAGTGGTTATCTATTGGTATGTTGTTGTTAAGTACCTTTAAGTCAGTTCCAACTGTGTAGCGACCCTGTATAGGGTTTCAGAGGCATTTTTCTTTTTAAAAAAAAACTTCCAGGAAGCAGAAAGCCTCATCTTTCTCCCCAGTAGCAGCTGGCAGGCTCGAAAACCTCAGACCTTGTGGTTCACAGTCCAGTGCTTATCGTATGGAGCCACTGAACTCCCAGACTTTGGAAGGTAGGAAAGGAAACTTACTTTATTGGTATTATTTGTGTAACCTAACTTACTCCTTGGAAACCCTGTATAGGGTCACTATGAGTCAAAACCGACTCCACGGCACTTAACAACAACTCCATATTTATAGTTAGCCTTTCTCCCACCACAGGTACCTTGCTCCTCACCCCATCCTCTAAGGAATAACTTTCTGTACTGCTCAAGGACATACAGTTCTGCCTGGAGGGTCATTAGACATAAAAGAATGCTACTCTACTGTTTTATCTGATTGTTATAAACATTTACATCGTGTGACTTGAGTAATGTACGGTAGAAAAGTACATTACAGTGTAAAATATATAGCCTCTGTAATCTGATCACAAGTGAGGCTCCATTAGGATAATCTGTGTGGCTCTGGGAATCGCCATTGATGTCACCTTCTAATACAACTTCTCCTTTTCTAACTTGGGGGCAGTGAATTTGGCTCCAATGCTCCATGGCATGAACCTTTATTAGGGGTAACACTTGGGTTTTTAGTAATAACCGAAAATAGA